CTTTCTCAGCTCCTCTGGGGGGAGTGCCGTGCTGCACCCCTAATGTAATCATCTTTCTCCTTTAAGAGGTGGTCGGACCAGACCATGCTAAAAGCATTTTTGACTTTGGGGTTCTTTATCTATGAGGAGGGGAAGACCCAGCTCTCAGACTTAGCAGGTAAGTGGGAAGAGAAGCCAGCAGCAGGTTCAGAAGGCGCTGACATGCCCAGGTGAGTGGACCAAGGCCATAGAAGGTTGGAACCTGAGCCCCAGGAAAGCTGTCCCCCAGCCTGGATTTTGATGTCCCACAGACCTCAGTTCAGTTCCTGCCAGCAACTTCCTTTGGGCAAGTCACTACACTTCTCTGAGCCTCAGTTTGCTCATCTGTAGAATAGGGTTGATAACAGTTTGGATTTCCCAGCATTTCTACAAGGATCAAATGAGATAATTTATGAAAAGCACACGTGTGCACAGGTGTGCAGAGCACCTGGCCACTATCCAGGTCCATCCAGCTCTTCTAGCCAAACCATATCAAACCACTCCAAACTGTAGAGTCACATGTGTGTGCACATGTGTGTGAGCACACCCGTGGAGGGACCTGGGGTTGCTGACTGTCAGCACCCTTTTGGCTCTTCCTGCCAGGTCCCCACTCTCCTGGGTGAAGGGATGGACTGGAATGTCCACACCTTTGTTTGTGAGACATTTGTGAGGCTGGCTGGCCAGCACCACCTTCCTCCCCACCTGCCCCAGCTGGCCAGTGATATCCAGACAAGCCCGCGTGTGCTAGGTCAACCTGGGCGGGTCTCTCCACCTCCCTGAGCCTGTGGTGCCCAGTGTGCAAGGTGGCTTCATAGAACCCAGCTGGCAGCATGCCTGTGAGGTCTGAATCAAAATGAGATGCTCTGATACAGGCATGCCTGGCACATAGACATCATTGCAGGGGTCCTCTGTTGTCACCCAGGGTCTGGCCTAGGCCATGAACAGGGGTGAGTGACCCACATGTGAGCATATGTGTGAGTGTACATGTGCATGCATGTGCAGGTGTGTTAAGATGCCAACATTTTGGGATAAGGAGAAGAAAATTAAATTACTGAGTTGGCTTGGGACAGGGTTTTTGTTAAGAGAAATATAAGTTCAAGTTACCTTATTTTGAAAGATGATAGGGATTTTAAGACTTAATTCAGCTAAATTAAATAGAACTGTTGCAAGCAAACTCCTCTTGGGTGTTCAGCCCTGTGGCAGACACTGGGGCAGGCAGTGGGAGGAGACAGAGAGGGGGCCCAAGACCCAGGGCTCACACTTTCAGGGTCAAGACAGAAATGACTTGGAGATAAGCTGGATCAGGGTAGGCAGGGAGCAGGACCAGCGTGACCCAGCACACAGCCAGCCTGGCACCCTTCATGTTCTCTTAGCCCTCACAACAACTGGTGAGATGGATGTTAGAATCCCATTTTACAGATGAGGAAACTGAGGCTCAGAGAAGTAAGGTGACCTGCCTGCAGCCACCTGGTGATGGAGGCAGAATTTTAATCTTGTTTAACTCTAAAACTTAAGTTCTTAGTACCCACTACACCTTGAGAATTGCCACCAAGAACCCACACACATGTATGTAGGGAGTGCTGGGAGGAGGGTAGGAATGATAAAAGCAATCTGCCTCTACATATTTTTTGCAATTTAAGAAAGAAAAATGGAAGGGAATAAAGACCCAAGAAAGCATGTCATAGAGACTCACACACTCACACACTGCTGACTTTTGTAAGATTATGGGCTGAATTATTGACTTTTAAAATGTTTTCTTTTGCAATTGAGGTTTAGCTGAGTAGCTGGTTGTGGTTCTTGAGCAGCTCTTTGTTCTTCAAGCTCTGGGGACAGTTCCAGCCCCAGCAGGATGAAAAAGCTCTTGCTGCAGCTCAGGGTGACCCAGACCAGCGGCTGCCCACCCACGCTGTGCTCCTGCAGGTGACAACCCTCTGAAGTAGAGGTCCCATCTCCTGCTCCCCTGGCCTTCTGCCTTCATCCTCCCCAGTCTCCTGACACATGACACCCACTTGCCATCTCTCTCTCTCTCTCCACCTCTCCACTTTAGATTCTCAGGAGGCTGCCTGCGAGAACCTCCCTCCACCTCCCTGCCAGCCACCTGCATTACACTTATCACCCTCTACTTCTCTGACATGTCTAGAAAGAGCAAAGGTTTTGCGGTCAGGCAAAATGGAGTGAATTCAACTGCCTGTCACCTGGGTCAAATTACTAGCCTTGTGACCGGAGTCAAATTACTTAGCTTTGCTCAGCCTCAGTTCCCATCTGTAAATTGGGACTGAAAGTTCACATTAGGACTCACTGAGATAAAGTCTAGCAGGTGCCCAGGGCAGTCATTGACACTACCATGTGCAGTTGTGTGAAGGGAGGATTCGAGGAGGAGGAGCTTTCAGTTGGCTTTGACAGGTGGAGTTTGCTTTCTAGGCAGAGGAACAGCACCTACCTAGGGAGGTGTGACATAGCCATAGCATGTTTGGGGGGGGCTGCGAGCAGTTTAGAGTGGCTGGGAAGTGAGGCTCAAAGCAAGTAAGAGGAATCATGGTGGGAGAGGAGGGCAGGAACCAATTTCAGAGACTGCATGAGCAATTTTTCAGGGCCACGTGTGCTCTTCCCTATGAGCTTTGGGTGGGCCTGCTTCCAGGCCTCACCTGTCACTACAGCCCCTGGCCCTGAAGGTTCCACCACAGGGCCTTTGCACACACCACACCTGCTGGGTGTTGCCCTCACCTCATTCCTGCTAGTGCTCTCCTACCTCTTCCTGAGCCTCCCCAGTCTCTCCTGCTGAAGGGAGTTGTCCCTTCTGACTCAGTGACTGCCAATCTCACAGGACCAGGACTTTCCAGCTTACTGCTGACTCTAACATTTGGTGCCCACATCCCAAAAGTGCACTTCCATTGTCAGCCTCTGAGGCCCTGATTTGGGTTCAGAAAGTGTGATCTCTGGGTACATAGTACGTAGAGATGACTGTCACATGACACAGACTTGTGATGAACGCCTGTGACCTCAGCCAGTTGTAGACATAATCTCTGATTTGTCCCTTTGGCTCCCACTCCCAGAAGAAAGGCTCACATAAGACCAGTTAATGAGGGAACAAATGTTTGCTTCTCTTCTTGTTCAAGGGCTTCTCAAAGCCAAGAACTTTTTTTTTTTTTTGAGACAGTCTTACTATGTCACCCTTGGTAGAGTGCCATGGCATCACAGCTCACAGCAACCTCAACCTTAGGCTTAAGCGATTCTCTTGCCTCAGCCTCCCAAGTAGCTGGGACTACAGGTGCCCGCCACAGTGTCTGGCTATTTTTTTGTTGCAGTTGTCATTGTTGTTTAGCTGACCTGGGCTGGGTTCAAACCCACCAGCCTCTCGGTGTATGTGGTGATACCCTAACCATTGTGTTATAGATATGGAGCCAGATGAGAACTTCTTAAAGACAGGACTTAGCACACAGTAGGTACTCCATAAATGCTAAGATGCTCAGTAAATACCTCTTAGACATGCCCAGAATTTACTAGTTCATCAGCACTTTTATCCTATCATTTAGTTGGCTAATCACAGTAAGCCTGAGGCAGAGGTAAGTACTGACAAGCATTTATAAAGCAGACACTCAGGCCAGAGATGACAAGTGACTTGTCGAAAGCTGCACAGCAAAATAATGACAGAGGCTGAACACAGTGGCTCATGCCTATAATCCTAACACTTTGGGAGGCTGAGGTAGGAGGATTGCTTTAGGCCAGAATTTCAAGACCAGCCTGGGCAACACAGCAGGACCCCATCTGTACAAAAAATAGACAAATTGGCTAGGTGGGGTGGGATGTGTCTGTAGTCCTAGCTACTTGGTAGGCTAAGGCTGGAGGGTCACTTAAACCCAGAAGTTAGAGGTTGTAGGGAGCTATGATGACACCGCTGCACTCTGGCCTGGGCAACAGAGCAAGACCCTATCTCAAAATCATAACAACAGCAAAAACAAAGCTGGGTGCTCAAACCCTAGCCCCCTAACTACAACAAAATCATCATGATTGTCATCCTGACTGTGACTATTTCTTGAGCACCTGCACTGTGCCAGGTACTTTATAAGCATGATTTCATCTACACCATCGAAACCCCCAGCTCTCTCCTGGCATGTGTGGGAGTGACCACAGCTGCCCCTTGAAGACCTGAGGAGTAGATGCTGGGCCAGGCCCCAGGAGACAGCACAGACCATGGCAGCCATATTCCCAAGACTGAAGGGAACCTTCCAGACAAAGGTGACATTCAAGAACACCCCGAGCAGAGGCTGAGAAAGGGACAGGTGAGCTGAAGGAGACCTGGCCTGTGGGGGAACCAGGGGAAGTAGACTGTGGCAAAAGCCTGGCTTGGAAGAGGGGAACATGGCAGAAGAAAGGCAGAGAGCTATGCCCACCAAACCACCTAGGATTAATCTGCCAAGAAACAGGGAGTCATGGGGGATTGTAAGCAGCTGGGGCAGCCGGCAAGATGGAGCACCACCACACTGGAGGGTGAGGCCACAGGGTCACGCTGGGGACTGGAACCCAGAGAGGATGACCACAGCCACCAGGGTGCAGGTAGGCTGGGCTGGCAGAGGGAGGCTCGGGCCTTAGAGATAGAAGGAACTGGAGTGGGCAAGATTTGGGATCCAAATGGGGATGAGGGTGGGGGGAGAGAGGAGGTGGGAATGCTGCCCCACTTTCTGGTGAGGTACTTGATGGTGCCATTTACTCAGGCGCCTGTGCACAGGGACCGGCGCGGGTACTTGCTGGCAGGACCGAGGTAAGAGGGATGAATTGGCCAGCTTGGGTTTTCAGTGTTGCTAAAAAGCAGGCTAGGACGGAGGTGCACGCCCTAGCCCAAGAAAAGCTACAGGCCCAGCCTGGGACCAGAAACGGAAAGTACTTGGGAGGGTGAAGGAGCAGGACCCAGGGAGCGTCAGGGCTGCAGACAGAAAGGGCCACGACCCACTCCTCCCAGAGTGGCGGGGGAGAGGGCCACCCACCTGCTTCCCATAGCCCAGCGCCTTGTCGTAGAGCGCGATGCCAGCCGCCAGCACCCGGGCGCGCTCCTCCGGACTGGCACAGCCCACGTCGAAGCCGTGCGCGTAGCCCTGCTCTGCCAGGCAGCGCGCGGCGCGGAGCTGGGGGTCCCCTCCGGCCTCGGGTTCCGCCGCCAGACCCATGAGGTCCGCCAGCCGCGCTGCGCACGCCTCCTCCTCTTCCTCCTGTCCCAGACGCCCGTACACGTGCACCAGATTGGCCCAGGCGTTAAGGTTGCCCGGGTCCTCGTGGGCCACCTCGAGGAAGCGTTCGCGGGCCTCGTCCAGCTCCTCCAGGTAGAAGGCGAAGGCGCCCAGGAGGTGACGCACGGCGGGGCGCTGCGGGGCGGCCGCCAGCTCGAGCTCCTGCCGAAGGCCCTCTCGCTGCAACTTCAGGTCCCGGGCGCGCAGCGGGGCGGGCGAGCTTGGCTCGAAGTTCAGCTGCATCTCCAGGTGGAAGTGGCCCGGGAGGTAGTCGAGATCGTCGATGAGGGCGTCCAGGTCCTCGGCCTCCGGCTCCGCCATGGCTGCCCCACTGCTCGCCTGGCCTAACCTTTGTCCACCAAGCTGCGGAGGGTCGTGGATGGGACGCCCCCCGAGCGAGCCCGGCGCGCCAGAAGCCCGGGGCAGGGCGCAGAGGACCAGGGAGCGGCCGCCTCCGGGTCCGGCGCGCTACCTACCGGCCGGTGGGTGGGCCCTGGGAGCGTCCTGTGGGTGTTTCCGCTTTCGCTGCTCAGCGGCTTTTAGACGCTGACATTGCACAACCAGGTGTGCCAGAAAAACAGGTGCATTGTCAGATTCAGGGCTCGCAAACCCCGGTGCAAGGCAAATGTTCTTACTCTCTTCGCACGGCTGACAAGGAAAGTGAGGCTCAGAGGAGGAAAAGGACTTGCAGTGGTCACAATATGGGGGCGTGCCCAAGTAGACCTGGAACCCCAGTTTGCTGGGGCCAGGCCATTCCTCCATAGGCGGTGCTCCGCCCTCTCTGCACGAACGCTGCCCTTCCCAGCTGCCAAAGGCAGCCTGGCTCCTGCAGCTGTCCCATCCCGGCCGCTGTCCCGTCCTCTCCGCAGTTCTTCAGTGTTTTTCATCTGAAAGGAGCCCTCCACCTCCCTCACCTCCCTCATCTCTTCTTTTGCTTTTATTTATCAGATTTCCCCCTTGAGATCTCTCTGTATCCTCTTTGCTCAGCGGGGGCCCTCATGGAAAGACTATGGGCCCCATGTGCTGGCTCTTCTCCCCACATCTCCAACCCTAGTAATGTATAATGCCCTATTTCCTACTTACCTCATGTGTGACCTGAGGATGACGATGCTTCCGCCAGGGCAGTAAGGTATCACAGGTAAACCTGACAGGTGTCTGCCTCAGGTAAGTGTGAGTTCCACTTCGCCTCCGGGGTTCCCATCCTGCACTCCGCCCGTGCTACCCAACTCCTTGCTCTGGCCTGTCTTCCTCCCAGGACTGGAGCCTTCCCCAGAGCCATCCCCCAGCCTCTAGGCCAGGTGCTGGGCTGCTGTAGTCCCGCCTGGGCCTTGCAGTAGGTCTGCCTTTTGGAGTTCCTGGCACCTCTGTTGCTTCCTTTTGGAACATAGAAGAAACAGAGCCAATTAATAAAGTTAGAAACAGATTTGACTTTAGCAATAAGAAGGTAAATTAAAACAACACTTGGGTGTCATTTTTCACCTGCCAATTTTTAAATATAAAATTTAGTAAGTTTAAACATTTTAAATACAAAAAATTATTACTATAAACTGCTGGTGATTATGAGATGAAACTTGTCATCTTACCTATTTGGGATTATTAGGGATGTATTCCCAGAGGGCTGGGCTTTTAAAAAAAATTATGGTAATATTATTTACATTAAAATCCACCATTTAAACCATTTTTCAAGTGTACAGGTCAGTGGCAGTAAGTGCGTTCACAATCATTCCCACCTTCTATCTCCAGAACTTTTTCATTTCCTCATATTGAAATTTCATACCCATTAAACAATAATTCTTCATTCCCTTCTTCCCCAAGTGCCTCGAAACCACTATTCTCCTTTCTGTCTCTGTGAATGTGACCCTCTGTGTACCTCCTATAAGTGGAATCATACAGTATTGGTTCCTTTGTTTCTGGCTTATTCCGCTTAGCATAATGTCTTTTAAGATTCATGCACATTGGAGTACGTGTCAGAATTTCCTTCCTTTTGAGGGCTGTATGCTATTCCATTGTGTGGATTTATCATTCTTTTTTATTCCTTTATCTGTCAGTGTACACTGGAGTTACTTCTGCCTCTTGGCTCTGTGAACAATGCTGTTGTGAACACGGGTATACAAATACGTATTTGAGCATCTGCCTTTGATGCTTCTGGTATATACCCAGAAGTGGAGTTGCTGGGTCATAAGGGAATTCTATGTTTAAATGCTTTGAGGAACTGTCATCCTATGTTCCACAGAAGCTGGGCCATTCTACTTTCCCACCAGCAATGCACAAAGGTTCTAATTTTTCCACATCCACACCATTGTGTGTGTGCTTTTTTTACAATGGCCATCCTGCTGTGTGCGTTTGGCTTTTGCTCTGACTCTGAGAAGATGAGCAGGCATTGGGTGGGGAAGGTAGGTGTGGGCCTATGTCAGCAGCAGGAAAGATAAGAAGAGGCCAGTCACCAGGGCAGGGTGTGTCCCAGGGACAGAGCAGCCCCTGTGATTGGAGCTTACATAGGGTAGGGCTGAAATGGCAGGAAATGAGGACTGCAGGCAGAGGCCACGCCCCTATCACAGAGGGCGGAATCCTGGCTAAGAAGCTTGACTTGACCCCATTGACAGATGGCTCCAGAGTCTGGATGGGTAAGAAACTCTTGCAACCATGGAGCTCTCAAAATGTCACTACAAGTCCCTTATCTGCTGTATGACACTATGTCTCACTAGATGTGACCAGGGCAAATTATTTTCCCTGTCTGAGCCTTAGGGGAGTGGCAGGGGCGACAGTGGCACCAAGAGACTTACCTTTAAAATAAAACTAATAATCTCTGTACCCTCCAGAGACTTGCTGTGAGCAGGTCCTGCTGTGATGAGAAACCTTCAGGCTGACTAGGGCTGGCTGTCCTGCACTGAGCTATCTCACCTGGCCTGTTCCAGCCTGCCTGACAGCCAGGACTTCCAGTTCAATGCCTTGGCTTATTTCCTCTGGCCATTCCACCATGAATGGAGCCCAGGGTGCAGGCCAGAAGAGAGGAATGCAGCTGGACTGCCCTGAGAATACCTGAGCAGGCCTGGGATTGGCCAGAGGGCCTCCCCAGAGCACAGGACTGGGGGAGCCAGTCGCTGACACCACTCGCTGACACCTCAAAACACCTCAAAACACCTCAAAACACCTCCTCCAAGATGCTAACACGTGCATGTCACAGATGAGGAAATTGAAGCTTGGCCAAGGTGACTTGCTCACGGCCACCAGCTAGGAATTGGCAGAGCCAGGAGTAGCACATCTCTTTGAGGATTTATGTGTTCCTGGGAAGTTGGACCAAGATTCCTGTACATAGTATTCATTTGCTTGTCATTCAATAAATATTTCCTGAGCACTTACTGTGTGCCAGATACTTCACCAAGAGTGAATGAGACATAGTCTCTATCCTTGCACCTCTGTAAGATCCCTTCCCAAGGGCTCAGAATGAGCTTTTATTGAGCTCCTGCTATGTGCCAGGAGTGTTACCTAAGCGAGTCATTTAATCCTCACAGCATTCTGGGGATACAGAGATTATTAGTTGTATTTTAAAGGTAAGACTGCTAAGACTCAGAGAAGGACGTGACTTGCTTAAGGTGCCACTGCTGAGAAAGGGCAGAGCCTCTCCTTGGATGACCTACCTAGTCTGGTCTATGTGTGTTCCTGCCTCTGACCATCAGCTCGGGGGTACAGTGTGAGCACCTTGCCAGCTGTGGGCATGGGCCCACCAGGGCTGGAGCCCAAAAGTCCAGGTCTCAGCTGAGCTAGGCACACTTCCTATTCAAATACCAGCTGGGGTTGTCAGAGAACATTGAATTGGGCCTGGAAGGAGACCCACTCTGCCTCTAGCTTTGGCACCGGCTGAATGCAGGACCCCAGGCAAGTCCTATCTCTCTCTGGCTTCAATCTCCTCACTAGGGAATGTAGATCTCTGCCCTGACTTTGCCTAAGGCCCTTGGGAGGATCAAAGGTGATCGTGGAAGACAGACAATCTCGTTCACTTCACATGATTATCGGGCACTGGTAGGGGGTAAGGGAGGAGGGAAGAGAGAGCGGCCCCTGTTGGGGGCACACAACCTCCATTCCTTTTTTTTCACCTGGCAAGTTATACCCAGGCTTCAATGTCGACTATGGAATTCTCCTGCCCAGGGAGCCTGTCCTGACCTACCCACCCCCAGGCAGGGTGGAGGCCTCCCTCTCTCCTGGGCCTGACCATGCTGTTCCCTCCACTATTCTCACAGCAGAGACCACATCTGGGTCCCAGGCACCCTGCAAGGGGCCCATCCAAAGTAGATGTCAGGGTGTCTGGGAGCCAGAGAAGTCCAGGCTGTCCGGGAAACCCCTTGCTCCTCTCCCTCTGGCTCTCCTCCCTCCCCAGAGTAGAGAAGCTGGGATGCTTTCTGCCTGCGTCATGTCCTCTCTGTGGGCTTCGGTTTCCCATCGGCCCGGGTGAATGTTACAAGGGGCCTCTGGCTGGGTGTGTTGGCTCACATTTGTAATCCTAACTCTGGGAAGCTGAGGTGGAAGGATTCTTTGAGCTCAGGACTTGAAGACTGTCTCTACTAAAAACAGAAAAATTAGCCTGGCATGGTGGTGGACACCTATAGTCCCAGCTACTCTGGCAGGTGAGGCAGGAGGATTGCTGCAGCCCAGGAGTTTGAAGTTGTAGTGAGCTACCATGAGGCCACTACACTCCACCCAGGGCAACAGAGTGAGATTCTTCTCAAAATAACAACAAAAACAAACAGAACAGGAGCCTCAGCTCTCCCAGACCTGGTGCAGCGCTCTGGGATAAAGTGAGAAGTCAGAAACAGTCCCTCTATTAAATGACCCTAAAACCCAACCAAATGGCATTCATGTTAAAGACCACGAGGGGCCATTACATCTTTGAGGACGGGGAAGGCGCTCTGACGTGAAAACGTGCACGGATCAATGAAAGAGCTCGGGCGCGGGAGAGGCCTGAGTGGCCCACGGCGCGCGGG